GCTATGACGTAATCGGCCTTCGAATCCGGTCTTCTAAGGATGCGTCCTAGGTTTTCGAACAGAGCAATGAGTCGATGCAATCAGCTGGTTTCCTTAGATAGAAAACTTTGAATCAATCTGACTGGATAATCTGGTGAACTGGAAAGTGACCTGAGATGACATGATGTGAATTGGAGCTATAGAAATAAACCGAATAGAATTGAATTAAAGAACTGGTTTCTCTTTTTAGCCCTCGCTGTTCGATTCTGGCTAATCTCCCCGGCACCGACCTGTACAGAGACCAGAAGGATTACCTGCAGGTGAAATTGAGTAAAGAACGCTTTAATCATACCTGCTGGATCATTTTTAACCGTCATTCATCCTTTTTAGGTGTTTCAACCAAAGGGGGTAAAAATCTTCCGCATACCTTCACCGATCTTCTTTGCCAACATCGAGTTCCTCAGGAGCAAGCTGGTAGAAGCCGTACGTAGGAAATGCTGCTGCTTCCATAACGGCCCCAATCTGTTTTTATCCTGGATTAAAGTCTGTAATGTTGATCTTTGCTTCAGGTCGGGTTCAGTCCTCAGAGGGTTTTACGGAAAAGGGAAAAGGCGCTCCGAAAAATCAAGGCAACGTTCCAGAAGAGAGATCCCACAATCACAGAGGTGGGTGGTAATCCTGTAATCCCAGCATGAAACATTGGTTCTAATATTGTTGCAAAGTTATTGGAATTTTAAAATCCAGAAATGAACCTTTGAAAAATGTCTTAATCAAAAAACGAAGAGTAACTTTTCAAATATTTGATTAAACCTTTTGTTAAAAACATTTTATACTTTATCAAATTTTTCAAAGGTCTGTTTTTCAGATTTACCTTTTTACATGAGGGTTAGGATTGCCCAGCGGTCCACATGTGCTTTGTGTCCCTGGTGCCCTGTGGGAGGGCCTTCAGGAGTACAGAGTCAGGGGCCCTTTACTGGGGGCCGTCCAGTCTGTTTAAGCGGAGCAGAAGTTTATTCCGTGTTAAGTGGATTAAGTTGGACCTGCTCCCAGTGCATCCTGCCCTGTGTTAGCAGTGCTGTTCACAACTGAAAAGACCAATCAAAAAGCTGTTTCAGTATCCCCAGAACCAGTCAGTCAGTCTGCTGTTAGCAAATCCAGAACCCTGACTAGATCCCAAAATGTTCAGGGAGCATCATACTTCCCCATATGTGATTTATCTTAGGGTTTTAAAGGGCTGGTTATCCTCCCGCAGCAGTTTATTGCAGTGATGCCCAATATTGAAGCATGGTCTGCGCTATGTTATTCCACGCCACAACGCCAGAGGGCCAATCAGGAACTAGCCGTGGGTCTAGATACGGCCGAGGCGGTGAGGAAGTGGGGGCAAGTTTGTACGACAACGGAGGGACATGAGAAAAAGCGGGGATCCAGGTGGAAAAAGGGTCCCAGCTTTCTGGTGCACCTCGCCCTTCTAGCTGGTCCATCTTTCCAAAATGGCGGTCAGACAATCAAAACAAGCCGCAAAGGTACCAAACAGGAAATACGCATAGAGTGGATGTAGATTTGACCAATCAGAGGCCTCCTATATGCGGCACTGTCTGCGGTCACCTACGATTTTGGCGAGGTGAAGCAGAGTGTCTGCGACGCACACCCCGATGACCTGGTTTCTGAGTATACAGCCTTTATTCTACATCTGTCTCAAAAGTCCACCCAACCACCAAAGGTTGAAAAGACGACATGATTTACGTGCAAATGACGTCTACATTAAGTTGAAACGTCTACTAAGTTGAAAAGGGAAAGGTGAAACACTGTCAGATTGTTGAAACGTCTATTATTGGACAAAATCAAACCGACCAATCAAAGCCCAATTTTTAACAAGTATTTCTGGACTGAATCCAGACTCCAACGGAACGACAAGATTTAGCCTAAAAACGAGTGTTGCTCCTATGCCATTTTTTGGCCCTAATACTGATACCTGATACCTGGCTGGGCAGTGTTGGCCGAT